TAAGGAATTGTTAAAAAATATATAATAATAATGTGAAGGGATAGGAAAAATAGCAAATGAAGTTTCAAAACATATCATAGAGAACTGAAACGCATAAATATATCACAGTATATATGTATAGACTGTCTACGAGGCCCCTTGAACCATAAGAAATGCAAAGCAGTCACTGTGAATAACGCGTTCTCGAATTGCCCCCCTTAAACATCAAGTTGCCCTCCAGTGGGGCGTGTGCCCCACATTGGGAACCACAAGTCTAGACAGAGGAGGCTCCAGGCACTGCCTGGGAAGACCCTGGGCCCGGTCCTCCATCCCTGTAGCCTGTGGAAGCAGCTGGCGCCCCCTTCAGGCTCAGGTCGGAAGTTCATCACCTCTGCCTGGCCAGTGTTGCTCAGTGGTTGGTGCCCAATGAACCAGGAGGTCACGGTTCCATTCCCAGTCAGGGCACATGCTCGGGTTGCGGGTTCGATCCCCACTTTTTTCAGCTCCCCACCCCCCTCCTGCATTTGAGGAGGGGAGCCCCGAAGCATCGTCTTCAAAGAAGCCCTTACAGGGAACTCTGTCTGTCCGTTTGTTCCCGGCTGGCTGCCAGCAAACAATTGGGGTATTTACTGAGGGTTTCCAAGAAATGGCTGCATGTTCTATGAAAGGTTATACCTGTCACGGGCGCTCCATGTGCTAGCCCCAGAGAGAAACGGAACATGTGTGGGAACAGACTGATTGGTGAGAGAATGTTCAGTTACATCGGTGGAGATCCATGTTAAGTACCTGCCATAGATGCCCGGCCGGCGTGGCTCAGTGGTTGAGCATCTACCCATGAACCAGGAGGTCACGGTTCGATTCCCGGTCAGGGCACATGCCCGGGTTGCAGGCTCCATGCCCAGTGTGGGGCGTGCAGGAGGCAGCCCATCGATCATTCTCTCTCATCATGGATGTTTCTCTCTCTCTTTCCCTCTCCCTTCCTCTCTGAAATCAATTTTAAAAAATATTTTTTCAAAAAAGAAAACAACCTTGACCGGTTTGGCTCAGTGGATAGAGCGTTGGCCTGCGGACTCAAGGGTCCCGGGTTCGATTCCTGTCAAGGGCATGTACCTTGGTTGCGGGCACATCCCCAGTGGGGAGTGTGCAGGAGGCAGCTGATCGATGTTTCTCTCTCATTGATGTTTCTAACTCTCTATCCCTGTCCCTTCCTCTCTGTAAAAAATCAATAAAGTATATTTTTTTTTAAAAAGAAAGAAAAGAAAACAGAAAGGAAGTTGTAGGATGTGTTTTTTAACACATTTCTCAACCTCAGCCTCGACGCGCTGAGGAGGAACTTGGAACGTGACGTAGTGGAAACACCCAGTGAGAGATGAGGAAGCAGCTCTGAGTGGGGACGCAGCTGGCCCAGAGCGAACTTCTGAGCGCGGAAGGGAGACGGAAATCCAGGCTCTGTGCCCCTGATCCGGCCCAGGACCCCTCGTGGGCAGGGTGCGCGCCAGTAGGAGTCCTCATCATTGAATAACTGTAGCCTGGGGCTTCCCCTACTAGTCTAACCTGATTATGATTAAGGACACTCGTTTTCCATTTTTTTAGAAACTATTTGTATTGATTTTAGGGAGAGGAAAGGAGAGGGAGCAAGAGAGAAACATCAATGAGAGAGAAACATTAAAGGGTGCCTCCTGCACGCCCCCTACTGGGGATAGAGCCCCCCCCCCAGCCCTGGCACGTGCCCTTGACCTCCTGGTTCATAGGTCAATGCTCAACCAACTGAGCCACACTGGCTGGGCAGTGTGCTTTTCCTTGGATATTAGTCTAGAAGAAGAAATATGGAGTTGAAAGCGGGTTAGACCCGTGGTCAGCAAACTGCGGCTCGCGAGCCACATGTGGCTCTTTGGCCCCTTGAGTGTGGCTCTTCCACAAAATACCATGTGCGGGCGCGCATACAGTGCGATTGAAACTTCGTGGCCCATGCGCAGAAGTCGGTTTTCGGCCTGGGCGAGTCTATTTTGAAGAAGTACTGTTGATATTTGGCTCTGTTGACTAATGAGTTTGCCGACCACTGGGTTAGACTATTGAAACCACCCCATAGGTCACAAAATGGAACATCTGTGTCTTGTCAGCTGTGTGCTTGATGGAAAAATCATTGTGAGTTAGGGGGGTATTGCCGAATTTGGGGGATCCGATGCCCGGTCAGGATCTGCGGCGTTTGGTCTTACTAAAAACCTCACTGGGACAGTGTGTGAGCCGGTCATGTGTGGCTGTGTGTCCTGTATTTTCCCCACAACCACGGCCAGAATCCTGCATTGTGTATTCACTGCATAATGAGTAATTTTAGACGTGGGTCACCTCGGAGGGAGGGTGTCTGTGGGAAGGCGGGGGATGGCACTATTTTTGACATAAATCACAAGTGCCAGGAGAAATGGTGCTACCCAAAGAATAAACAGGGGCGACGCCATTCAACTGCAGAAACGGCAAATGTGCCACCACCCGGCGCTTCCGATTGTGTCATATGTCAATCATCTGATCATATTATTATTATTTTCCTAATATGTTTTTATTGATTTCAGAGAGGAAAGAAGGAAAGAGATGGAAACATCCATGATGAGAGAGAATCATGGATCGGCTGCCTCCTGCACCCACCCTACTGGGAATCCAGCCCACAACCGGGGCATGTGCCCTGATTGGGAATCGAACCGTCACCTCCTGGTTCCTAGGTCGACGCTCAACCACTGAGCCACACCAGCTGGGCCATCTAGTCATTTCAACAATGAGGAAAGATCCAAGGATTCCCCCAGGCACGCTTACCTTCTGTCTCAAAGTCCTGGGGTCACCTGATTAAATGCTGGGCCCAGGCAAATACTCGGCTCTCCAAAAGTCTCATTGGAAAACCCCAATATGTTGGTCATGAAGTCACTAGACTAGAACAGGGAAGGCAAAAGCAAGTAGACAGTTGTTTGTATGGGAAAGAATGCACGAATAATAAGACGAGAGTAAACTTGTGTTTCACGTACTCACAACCGTCTCCCTACTTCTGCCCCACCCTGTATTGTACGCCCTACAAACATTTGTCGTACAGGAACTTCCTCACTTCTGTGGCCTTGGCTGTTGTCTGCTGTTTTTTTAAATTAGAAATGTATACAATTTAAACTCCAAAACCTATCTTCAGAAATCCGCAGTACTTTTTGTGGATGGACCACATTAAAATGTCAACAAAGGCCCTAGCCGGTTTGGCTCAGTGGATATAACATGGGCCTGAGGACTGAAAGGTCCTGGTTTTGATTCCTGGTCAGGGCATATGGCCGGGTTGCGGGCTCGATCCCCAGTGTGGGGGGCATGCAGGAGGCAGCCGATCCATGATTCTCTCTCATCATTGATGTTTCTCTCTCTCTCCCTCTCCCTTCCTCTCTGAAATCAATAAAAATATATATTTTTTATAAAGTTAACAAAGACTCAGGTTAGGGTACCTGCCGACTATCTGTCCACATAGAATATGGGGGGTTGGCGGGGGGGACGGACTTCACACCCAAGTAGGAACATGCCCTACCATTTATTCCTCATCCATTAAATGCTCGTACTGTTAGGAGCTTGGACATGAAACATACTCGCTTTTTTAAAAAAATTTTTTTTATTTTAAGCATCGAAACGGGTGACAGGGAACAAGGCAACTGAATTCACGGTTCACTCCCCAAGCGCGCACGTCGCAAGCGCCTCCTGGAGCTGTTGATTCTATACGTGCTCGTCCCGCCCGCAGAACTGGCGGGAACAAAGGGACAGTGTGAACCGGGACGACGCGGAGAAGCGGGAGGCCAGGTCCGCCCGGCGGGAGCGCAGGGC